ATCAAGAGCTGTTATTGGGCAAACAGGAATATAATTGTCTAGGTATAGTAATTTTATGCGCTAGATAAAATATATGACAAAATAGCTATGTCATTTAACAAAGCCTTTAAATATACAGTTTGTACCAGACTCGATTTAGAAAATCCTGTTTCTACAAATTTTGCTCAGAGACTTAGAAATCTTATGCCATTAATTTCTACAAATTGGTTACTGTATGTGGCATTTCCATGATAAGCCACATCCCTTGAATTTTAGGGCTGGGAACCATCAGTATGCCGTAAAAACTGTGCAATGCAGTGCAACTTGGTTTTTGTGATATTTGACAAATACTGGAAGCATTTCCAGTGCAATTAAGTTAGTCTGTACAATAAGCAATGACAAATAATAAGATTTTGATGTCCTTTGGGCTAAGATGAAAGTGCATGTATATGATCTATGGTAGAATTGCATAGAACATAGCTCAGACTTCCTGGCTGTGAGGAATTTAAATTTAAGTTCTATTTCATTGCCAGCTGCCTAAGGCAAGTAGTATAAGGGATTTGACTTATTAGCAGTTCTATATATGCTTGTGCTTGTTCTGTTATACATGAATTTACAGTGCTCATTACTAATTCTACACCTATAAGTAGATGCCATTTCAAAAGACAACGAGGTTGATTACTGTGGCATATAATGAACCAAGACAACTCTCACTAAAGTCAGTGGAAACACTGTAATTACATTTACTGAAGTTTAGAGCAGGCCCTAAGATAATAACAATTTCTGTCTTTATTACCTGTTTGTGTAAAATAATGACTATGCAGTAAGTAACCTGTGCATAATATTGCTATTTTTAACAAAACAGGTATGAAAGGTCCATCAAAAACATAGAAAGTAATTGAAGTGAGTACTGACTTAGATTGTTACATAGCCAGTAGATTGAGGGAAATGATTATTCACCTTTTCTCAGCAGTCATTAAACTGCATCTAGAATACTGTGTCCAGTTTTGGGCTCCCCAAAAGAAGAAAGGCACTGATTAAACTGGAGCAAGTTCAGCAGAACCCACCCAGACGGTTGGGGCTGGAGCACAGGCCCTGTGAAGAGATGCTGAAGAACTGCCTGTTCAGCCTGGAGAAGAGGTGGCTTTTGGGGGGACCTCACAGTGGCCCTCTAAAACCTACCAGGAGATTGCTGAGAGGAGATAGTGTCAGGCTATTTACCTCTGGTGCATGGCAGGGGAATGAAACACAGTGGTCAAAAACTGAAATACAGGAACTTCCAACTACTCCACTGTGGGCATAATTAAGCATTGGGACAGGGGCCTAAAGAGGATATGAAACCCCCGTCTTTGGAGGTTTTCAAAGACCTAAGTGATCTGGTCTGAATTTAATGTTGACCCAGGTTTAGGCAGGAGGTTGGACTATGTGAATTCTCCAGGCTCCTTCAAACAGTGCTGATTTTTTGACTCTATCTCAGCACATTTTCCTTCCGCAAGTAACTCATCAGTGCTGACGGTCTAGAAGTTGTAGTACTAGAGTCAAGTGGTGCTTGCTGCCTTACTGTTCTGAAAGCATGTGAAGAGAAAATGAGGGCTCATAGTGAAGAAAAGCCTTGGCGTGAGGAAATAAATGTTTATTCTGATTCTTCGGACACATGTTTCAGTTTGAGATGCTTCGGCAGGATTTCTGTGCAAATCTGGAGAAGTACATGTTTCTGTTGCAAGTCCTAACTGGTGTAGTGAGATTTCTGTAGGGATGTGTCTGGGTTACAAAAGTGTCTCCCTAAAATGACTTTATCACCTCTAGTCTGCTGTGAAGTATATGGTTTGTTTTAAGACTCATTGAACCTTAAAAATGCTCCCCAAATATTCTGATACCAGTCTTGTCTATGTCTGCAAAGCATAAAAGGAAGTTTGTTTCTGTCCTACAGATATTTGCTCTAATTGCATGTGTAACAATAATATTTAAGTGCAGAAAAGGCGTATTAGGGTGCTTACAATGTATTCATATGAAACACTGGGAGATCATTCTGCCCTATTAGAAAATGAAAAATAAGCTGTTCTGGATTGTTTGGGCTTCTAGACCTTATTTGAAGTATGCTGAAGTTGGGGAAAATCCTATCTTGCGTCCTTCCATCTCCTTTCCCTTGTGATGATTTGTTGACAAGATGAAGAGGTGAAGGCTGCTAATGCTCTGCTGATCTTGAACTTCCCCGCAGAGGGAGCCCATAGACCGGCTCCCGGCCCAGCTGACACCAGCACTTGCTCGGGATGTTGAGGGTTGCAGGAAGGGCTCCCTTCCTGCAGTGAGATAATCCCCCATCCCAATGGAAGACGGGAGGCTGCAAGGGTGGAAGGAGCTGTTCTGAGAGAGGAAATGCTGATTTTTAAGACTTTTTTTTTTAGGAAGTTCTACTTGTCAACAACTAGCACTTCTGCTAGTTCCCTAGAAGTTTATTTTAGAAAATACAAGGCTTGAAGAGGCCCTAGTTTTCACTTTTTATTAAAATAAAACAATTGAATTAGGCTGATGTCAGACGTTATACTTAGTGGAAATCCTTAAGAAGTCAAAGAACTGACTCTACTGCTTCTTCTCTGTATTTAAACAGATGGTTCGAGCACTGCCTATTGCTGTGCTAAATCCCTATGTCGAGCTAAAGCCATTAATAAGCTTTTAGATACAATGTGTTACCAGATACAAAAAGCAGATAACACTTGTGGGGGGGG